AAAGGGAGCAATTTTCTCCGCGATGCCAGCTCAAGGAGGGCCAGCAAATACAAATTTGCAAGGGAATAAAAAGTTTGTCGACGGAAGGGGGGGGGGGGAAATTGTAGTTCAGCGGGGCCCCAAAAGTAACGGCGGTGGAAGTCATCGGTGCTCTCTTTCGATCTTTGGGAATTAGCATTAAGACCACAAGAACTACCAACAAGTGACCAGGGGCTCGTGGCAGATTTTAGAGCGAGGCCCCCAAACACCCCCCCCCCTGCCCCCACCCTCCGCCTTGTTATGAAAACCTTTGAATTTAAAGACACACAAAATTATTAAATAATTTTTTTCAATATTTCAATTTATTGGCATCAATTATAAACGAGATAATGGCCTGCCTGGCCCAGTTGTTGGGTCAACATGTATAAATAGGATCATAATTAATATACTCAACGCAACTGGAGATTATATGCACACGAGTATAATTGCATATTTTCCCGGGGTCGTGCTCGGCCAACTGCCAAGCCTAGGGGCCCTAAATGCGCGAGGTCCCTAAATTCGCGAGGCACCTAAAATGGGTGTGTCCCAATAGAAAATGGCCGTGTTCTCGTAAAAAAGTGCGTGGCACAGTAAAGCGCGAAGCCCCCATAAGCGTAACCTGAAATTCAGGCCCTAATTTTAAATGGGGCCTGACACAAAACCTGTCTAGACCGTGGGACGCCCACATGTTATTTTTAGACACAGTCATGCAATATGATTGACAAGTGTTGTAGATTCAAGATTGCACAAAAAATTATATTCTCATGAACATGTCCGCAGAGTGTGCATTTTGCTTTTTAATTAAACTTAAAAATTCAAGGTACTTTTATTTAATTAAGTGCTCAGTTTCTCTATTTAACCGAACAGCAAACACACATTTAATTAGTCAGTTCTGTGCACGGCTTGAATGCCAAGCTTTCTCAAGCCAAGGTCTCAACTTGCTGGACGCCGGACGCGGATATACAGCATAATATATTCTCTAACGGGGTATTAACAACAGCAACAACGAAATTCGCAATCGTACCACGAAGAACGCGATAAATAAGACTTTTGCCGAAGTCAGTTGGCAGAACAGCAAAGACATCTTGGCTGTCAAGTGTCAACAACAAGCTTTCGAATACATGACTAGTTTTGCTGTTCTTTCAGCGCCGTATGTCCAAACTTCGTCAAAGATTTCGATAAAGCCGGTTCAAAATACTGTTTGTTTGATTTATTTTCTGCCATAAAGCATATTAAGGAAAAGAAATTCGAAGAAATTCGATATTGGAATTTGATACATGCGTTTGACCTTAATTCTCGCCTTGACCGAACTATTTTTAAAACTATTGTTTATGTCAACTTGCAACCAATCAAAATGTTTCATGATGCTGATCAACCAATCAGATTTCCCGTCCACCAGATGGACGGGAATCCCACGGTTTAGACAGGTTTTGTGTCAGGCCCTATTTCAAATTAGGGCCTGAACTTCAGGTTACCATAAGCGCAAGGCCCGTGGCATTTGCCGCATCTGACACGTGGTTAATCCGGCGTTAAACGGGCAACAAGCTTTCATTTTCTTTTAACGCGGCGTGTGGGGAGACAATAATAATTTCTGGTGTCGCACTGGGGTAACATATCTCAATGCTGTTTGTACTTGTGGAATATAATAAGATCAATAAAAAATAGTGTATCAAAATAAAGTAATTTTACTGATTATTTTAACTGTGCATCAAAGTGAACACACATTAAAATAATTATTCTAAACTATTTGCTATAATTTGAGTTTGAGGTGGTAGAATATATAATAAAATAACGAATCCTTGTATGGATTAATGAGGGGCCTGTACCGGTTTTGCGGGATCGCGGGATGCGTCTAAAATTCAAGTGGGATTCGGGATTCTAAGAGAAATATTGACGGGAAGTGGGATTTTTTTCAGTCGCGGGAAGTGGGATTAATAAAAATACCATGGCGATATGCGGGAAGTAACCTACGATTAGCGGGATAAATCAACAAAACTTGTAGCTGTACGTTAGCTGATCTGTTGTCATTTGTTTGTGTGCTCGAAATTACTGTTTTCAAGGATGATATCAAATAATCCAAATAATTGTTATAGTCTGATATATCTTTTACGCACTTTCCTTATTGTAAATATATCACCGTAATTCCTTTGAAAACAATTGTACTGGTATTAACTTTTAATATTATATTATTTGAATTGTAACTAGGGACCTTAAACAAAAGTTTTATGGTTTCTAGAAGGTTCCTATAGCCCTACTATTGTAAATATTTTCTATTTAAATTGTTAATTTTATAAACTGATTTGGGCGAATATATTAAATAAATAAATAAATAAATAAATATCGAACATTTGTCCCCCATCAATCCCCCATTTACATGTATATGTTTGCTGCTTTCATAAGAGTCGCAATTTAGTTTAATTTGTTTAATTTCACTTCTTGGTTGAATAAGACTTAATGAACCACTAAAATAAGTCTTAATATTCCAAATGTGCTGCGCCAAGTCATGTATAGAAAATATTTATTACGTTTCAGGCTTTTGGTTTACATATAGCTTTATTTAGGTTACATACAGTAATGTAAAATGTTTTTC